ACATACATACATACATACATACATACATACATACATACATACATACATACATACACACACACACACACACACACACACACATACACACACACATACATACATACATACATACATACGAAACGAAATAATTTATTTGACCTCAATAAAGAAAATAAGGTGCAGGTTGACTGTGAGGAGTTAGTATAAAACTCATCGAGCACAGCCACCTAAACCAAAAACTTCAGAATCTCTAAATAAAATATGTTAACCTTCAGATGTTACTAATTGATCACAAAAACAAAATCATCGGGCACAGCCATCAAACAAAAAACTTCAGAATCTCTAAATGTTATATATTAAATTTACGGTGTTACTAGTTGTTCGTAAAAATAAAATTATCGAGTACCACAAAAAACTTCAAATTCTCTAATTGGAGTATATTATATTTACGGTGTTACTAACTGTTCATAAAAATATTATCATCGTGCACCACAAAAAACTTCAGATTCTTTAAATGGAATGTATTAGTTTTGAGATGTTACTAATTGATCCTAATAATAAGTTAGGTCTATATTTCTCTATATACAAAACTGCATATAGAATATCTGATTGAATCTATCTATATAAGCTATAGATAGAAGAGAATAGAGGTAGTTTACCAGTCAATTGTTTGTCGATGAATTTTGCCGCGTGATATGTACTCATTTGATCGAAAGTAGCGGTTGTGAATGGGATTGAGCTTTGGAAAGTGTGATTGTTCGCATCGCTCTCTTCATGATTATTCTTATTGGATTTGTTGTAGTTGGATTGGCGCTTGACCAGACTGTATTGCAGTATGAGATATATGGAGTACAGATGGCTTTATATAGCATGTTAAGAATTCTTTTAGGCAAGAAAAATTTTATTTTATTTAATAGACCAATTGATCTTGCTAGTTTTGTGCAAACATATCGAACTTGTTGTTGAAACGATAATTTTTGATCCAATATTACTCCTAAAAATTTAACAGTTTTGCTTTCGAGAATATTCGAATTATTTATTACGATCTTATATGGCTCCTTGTAGTTTAAATATTGGACTGGGCCAAAAATAATCATTTGTGTTTTTCTACTATTCAATGTCAACACATTACATTCAAACCATGAGACGACCTTTTTAATTTCGCTATTAGTCTTCAAGATGAGTTCATCGATGTTTTTGCCAGGACTGAATAGATTAGTGTCATCTGCGAAGCAAATGTAATCAAAGAATGTTGAAACTTTCGGAAGATCGTTGATGAAGACAATGAATAGCAATGGTCCCAAAATGCTGCCCTGAGGTACTCCAATTTGGTTTAATTTTTCGCTCGAGCATGTACCTTGCCAGCTAACAAATTGACTTCTCTCCGATAAGTAACTTCTGAACCATTTCAGTTGCGAGCCACGTATTCCATAATGGTCTAGTTTCGCCAGCAAGATGTTGTGGTTGATGCAATCGAATGCCTTCGAGAGATCAAGGCACGTGCCTACGATGTATTTTTTGTCTTCTGCTGCAATCCCTATTTTTCTGATCAATTCTATTATTGCCGGCTCAGTCGAGTACTTCTCTCGAAATCCAAATTGTGAATCGTTAATTATGGAATTTTTTTGGAGAAGATATTTAGCCTTTTGTACATTATTTTTTCTATTATTTTCGAAAAATTTGATAAAAGAGCAACGGGTCGAAAATTAGTTAAATCATTTCATCTCTCATCCTTTTTAATCGGTACAATTTTTGAGACTTTGAAACATCGTGGAAATGTGCCAGAGTTGAAAGAAAGGTTAATTAGGAACTCCAAAATGTGAGCTGTTGAATGTATGGTAGATTTTATTATTTTCATAGGAATGCCATCCCATCCACTCGTTGTTTTTGGTTTGAGAAGTCTGGTTGCTGCAATTATTTCATCGCTTGAGGTCGACAGACAGAAGAACGAGTTTTGAAGTTTATTAGTGAGGTGATTTTTCCAGAGTGTTGAATTGTTGAAAGATGAACCTAGTTTTATAGCTATACCGATGAAATAATCGTTTAAGGCGTCCGCAGGAGAACGAACAATTTCACTGTTTGATGTGACGGTATTGGTGATTTTATTTGTGCTGATAATATTCTTAATAATCGACCACGTTCTTCTGTTATCTTTTATGTTCTTTACTATGATGTCGCTATAATATTGTTTTTTTAGTTTATTTTTAAATTTGATGCAAGATTGTCTAATTGACTTTAATTCAATTAGATTTTCAATATTCGGATTTTTTAGATATTTTGTATACAGTTTGGTTTTTCTATTTAACATTATTTTAAGATCATCGGTTATCCAAGGTTTATCACGTGATATTTTTTCAATTTCTCTTACTGATGAAATACGACAGCATTCGTTGAAGTTCTTTACAAAAATCTCTATGAATCGTTGAAACCCGACATTTACATCCTTACAGCTTAAAACGTTTGACCAGTCCATGTTTATTAAATATTCGTTCAGTCTGTTGATTCGTTCACTTGTAAACGAGTATAATTTCTCCTTCAGAAAATGGTTCTTGATTCTGTTAGACTTCATATTTACAATTATAAAAGTTGGTAGGTGGTCCGAAAGATCACATACCTGTGATGGTTCTTGATTCTGTTAGACTTCATATTTACAATTATAAAAGTTGGTAGGTGGTCCGAAAGATCACATACCTGTGTACCACATAATTCTACTGCATTTGGTTCGCTCGTGAAAATGTTATCAATGACTGAATTTTTATTTAAACTTATTCTTGTTGGAGTTGTTATTAAAGTTGATAGGTTGTATGATGTTAATAATTGTTGAAGTTGGAATTTGCTGGCATTTGAATCAGCATCAAGTAAATTGATGTTCATGTCACCAATCAGATAAACTAATTTGTTCTCTAGACTTATGATTTGTAGTACCTGTTCGATTTGTTGAAGATACATATTTGCGTCATAGGTAGGAGGCCGATATGTTATTACAATTATTGCATTTTTATTGGAACAATCGTTTGTTATTTCTATGCTGAATAATTCTATGCTGCTAATGCTATTGATGTCTTTTCTTGTTTTATACGTAATATCGTTATCAATATACAAACCGATTCCACCACCGTGCTTACCAGACCGATTTTTACCGACAAAATCATAACCAGTAATATTTATTAACTTGATATTGTCATCATTCAGCCACGTTTCACTTATACCAATAACGTTGTATTTAAAAGAAAAGTTGTTTAAATAATCGAGTAAGTCTTCTGATTTGTGAACTAAACTTCTAATGTTTAAATGCATTAGTTTGAAAAACAAATTGTCGTTAATTCCGTTGTCGCTGATGGAGTTATACAAAGCATTTATTTGATTTATATCGTCATATAGTCTGCAGGTTTTATCTACGACATTGCTGCGAGTGTCGTTAACAATATTTAACGAATTTTTGTCAGCCATGTTTGTTCGTTGTATCGGAGTTTTTGTCGGTGTTTTTCCCGAAACGCCATTCGCGTACAATGATGTGTTTTAACATAATTTCCGGGTCCTTCATCTTCGGTCCATCGCAACTTTCGACACATACACGAAACATCGTTGATTCTTCCTCATCCTTGTTTACTGGATCGCTTATATCTTGATTAGAACGTTTTATCACAGGAAAACAAGAGATGACGTTTATACCACTTGTTTTAAGAAAATCTATGACATCATTTCTGTGACATCTTTTTACGTTGCTCATCAAGAAAACGGTCTTTTTTATAAGGTTTTTTTCGGCCTGAAGTTTGCAGTTGTCGATTACTTTGATGCCAATCATTTTTTTAATTGGTTTTAGAATGGATGCGTTAACATTGCCTGTGTCACTGGTGGTACCACTAGATTTCATTTCATTATTATCTTCAGATGAGTTGTTTAGTCTGGCTCTTTTTTTATTTCTGGAAATGTACTCTCTAAACCCATCATCCACTGGTGTTTTCTCGGCATCTGACCACAGGTTTCCAGGATTGAAATTTTGATTATTTACGTCAATAATTAAATCGCTTGACTTCTCAAGTAACTTTGGCGCTATACTTTTTTCAACTTCATTACAATGTGATGTTTTAGTGCCAGATATTAATAAATTCGATGAAACTTTGTCAGCGTAGCTACAATGATGCATTTTGCTACTTCGTCCTTAGAGATTCGAGGTTGAAAGCAGTTTGTTGTGGTGATTATGATATGTCGTTTTATCGTAGTTCAGTGCTATATTATTAACGGTGTTTTTTACATACATACATACATACATACATACATACATACATACATACATACATACATACATACATACATACATACATACATACATACACACACACACACACACACACACACACACACACACACACACATACATACATACATACATACATACATACATACATACATACATACATACATACATACATACATACATACATACATACATACATACATACATACATACATACATACATACATACATTGTTTGATTTGATTGATTCTTGTCTTGGCTTTTGACTCGGCAACAGTATTTTCGATTTTCTCCGTATTTTTCTAAAGTTTCATAGGATATTATAGAGTGTTCGACTTAATTTTGATTTCGTTTTATAGTATAAATTTAGAAGAATAAGAGGATATAAATTTTGTTCAGTTGGTTGTTTGCAATTTAATTTTGTTTTATTTTTCACTATTTTTTGGTTTAAATTTTGAATTCGCGGTAATAAAGTTAAAGTTGTAAACAATAAAGGATAGTTTATAGAAGTTGCACTGTTTTGAAAGTTGAAGAGTTTTGCTGTTTTTTATTTTTTGTTTTTTTCTTGTGTGTTTATTCTTGCGGACTGCTAACTTTCTAAGGACATTTGAAATATAATTTTATAAGTTGACTTGCAGACATTCTTTTTGAAATAATTATGTCGATCAAAGGATGTCAATGTGCTAGAAATATGGAAGATAAAAACGCAATTCAGTGCTTTCAATGTCAACTTGCTTTTCACCAAGACTGCGTCGGAATAAGTAAATCAGCTTTCAAGGTTATCAGTTCCGTGTCCAATATTAAGTGGTATTGTGATGAATGCATGAAACTACTTCCTGATGTAAAGTCATTAAATAAAGCTGTGCGTGATAGCAATGATGCGCTCAACACTAGAATTGACAAAATTGATGAATCGAACAATTTGTTGAGGTGCGAACTTGAAGCTATCAAAAGTTTAATTCAGAGAAATGTTGATGGGGCGGAAAGATTCGATGGCACAGTTTTGAGTACCGAGCTGTGTAACCTTAAAAACGATTTGAACAAGAGTTTTGCTGATGCTGTCCGATGCGAAGTGAAGAAAAATATTGAACTAGTTAATGATGAGGTAAAAAGTGTTCAAAAAACCAATGTAAATGACATGAAAGAAAGAGAGAATAACATAATGATGTTCAATTTGCAAGAAACTGATGATGATAAAGATAGAGTCAAAGAAATTATTAAAAAGTTATCCAGTGAAGTCAAGGATCAGGATATTAAAAGAATTGTTAGACTGGGTCCAAAAGCTGAAACTAAAATTAGACCGGTGCTGATTGAAATGAGGAGTTGTGCAATTAAAGATTTAGTCTTAAAAAATTCCTTTAAATTAAAAACTATGCATGAAGATCTTGATAAAGTATGGATCAGTCATGATTTAACAGTTGATCAGCGTGCCGAGTTAAAAAAACTAATTGATGAAGCCAAATCAAGAAAAATCTCGTGCCCGGGTTTTTTATTCAAGGTGAGGGGAACGGTGGGGAGGTGGCGGATCGTCAAACTCAGAGAGCATCCGGTGAAGTGATTTCTGGTGAAGGTATTGCTGATGATGCTGGTGGTGGAAGTTTGTTCAGCTGTGGTGATTATGATAGTTGTGGTTGTGGTATTTGCAGTGGTGGAGATGGTTGTGGTGGTAATGTTAACGGTGGTCGTAATGATGGTGGTATTTGCGATTGTGATGATGGTTGTAATGGTAACGATAAAAGTGGTAGTAATGATCGTGAAGTTACCAAAAAAGACTCAGAACTAAAATTGCAATTAGGTTTGTTGAACATTAGGTCAATTATGAATAAAATCAAAACTGTTCGCGATTTATTTTCTAATAATTTTGATATTTTTGTTGTTACGGAATCCTGGCATGGGTCGTCCGATAATTTATCACTTAGACTCACTCTGCCACCTGATTTTGTGTTCATAGATTTTCTGAGGCCAACCGACCCTAACCATGGTGGAATAATTGTATTTTTTAAAAATTATTTTAAATTTTATAGAATTCCGCTGCCTTTATTTAAGACGTTTGAGGCTATAGTTGTGAAATTTTATTTCAACAAAGTAACTATTGTTGTTTTTGCAATTTATCGTCCTGGGTCTTCTATTCCATCACCATTGTTTTTTGATGAGTTATCATCTGTTTTTGATCAAATATTGCTTTTAGCAAATTATGTTATTTTTATTGGAGATGTGAATATTCATGTTGAACTTTTGAACGACCCTAATGCATTGAAATTGAAATTGTTTGAAATTTTTGATTTATATCAATTGATAAATAGAATAAATGAACCAACCCACGTTTATGGTGGAACATTGGATTTAATTGCCTCTAGTTCTGACCTTCCCTCACAATTTTTTTCCGTTGAGCCACCAAATGTGTATTCAGACCACAGTTTAATTAAAATTTGTTTCCCTATTTCTGTTCCCACACCTCAGAAAAAATGGAAATTTACTCGTTCATGGAAGCAAATTGACGAAAATCAATTTTCTTCACTAGTTCTCGAATCACCTATTTCAGGGCCGTTCAATTCATCTTCCGCTGATACCCTGTTGGATTTGTTTAATTCTGAAATCGTGAGAATTGTGGATATGGTTGCTCCTTGTCGTTATGTTAAATCTACTCATGTACTATCTGCCCCTTGGTTTGACTCTGAATGTCGTTCATTAAAACGCAATTGTCGAAAACTGGAACGATTGTATAGGAAAATGAAAAATGATATTAATCGAAATGCATGGCGCTTAGCGTTAAAAGAAAAAATACAACAATTTTCCCAAAAAAGAAACAAATTTTAGTCAAATCAAGTTGATTCGTTTAAAAAACAACCAAAAAAATTGTGGAATATCCTCTACAAAATTTTATCTAAAAATCATAATAATAACCATTCAAATGATTTCTCCCCCAATGATTTTATGACATTTTTTGTGAATAAAATCAATAATATTCGTAGCACGACTATAGAAAATACTAACAAACCAATCCAGTTTGAGTATGTCTCTAGGGTCGTCTCTCCTGAAGCAATTGTTAATCTTTCAGATTTTCAAATGTGCACGCCAGATGAATTGCGTAAAATAGTTTGTGACTCCCCTGGCAGTTCTTGTTCTCTTGATCTGATTCCAACATACATAATTAAAAAATTTATAGATCTTTTTTTGCCATTTTTTGTCAACCAATGTTTATCAACTAGCAGTTTTCCCAACCCTTTGAAACATGCTATTGTAACCCCACTTCTAAAAAAATCAAATTTGGACGACAAGGTTTTATCAAATTACCGTCCTATTTCTAATCTTTCATTCATTTCTAAAGTCATTGAACGAGTTGTTATCAAACAATTGTTACAGCATTTAAACAAAAACAATTTGTTGCCAAAAAATCAATCCGGCTATCGTCAATATTTTTCCACAGAAACTGCACTCATTGATATTTTCTCCCAGTTGTTCTCTTCAGTTGACAGTCAATGCGTTTCTTTTTTAGCATTACTTGATATGAGTGCTGCATTTGATTGTGTCGATCATACTCGTCTCATATATAAACTCTCCACAAATTTTTTTCTCTCTGATTCAGTCTTATCGTGGTTCGCTTCCTATCTTTTAGGCCGCACCCAGCAGGTTTCTTACAACAACACCCTCTCTGACATAAACAAACTATCGTTTGGTGTCCCCCAGGGATCTGTGTTGGGACCTCTATTGTTTCTTATGTACACTGCTGATGTTTTTGATATCATTCAAAAATATGAGTTCAGCTCCCACGCCTTTGCTGATGATATTCAGTTATTGGTTTCTTGTCCTGTTGATTCGATTGATGCTTCTCTGAATGAACTGACTGACTGTCTCATCGAAATTGGATCTTGGATGAGTATGAATCAGTTAAAGTTAAATCAATCTAAAACACAAATATTACCGGTTGGTTCTTGGCAGCAGCTGTCGAAGGTCAACATTTCATCGATCAGTGTCGGCAATGACATCATTGAATTTTCCACATCTGTCCGTAGTCTTGGATTTATTATTGACTCAAACTTAAAGATAGATTTACATATTAATAATTTAGTGAGGGTCTGCTCCAACCAACTCCGTTAATTACGCAATGTCAAAAAATCACTAAACACGTCTGTTCTTCAAAGCTTGGTTTCCTCTTTTGTCTTTTCCAGACTAGACTACTGCAATCGCCTTTTTTATGGTGTCACCAAAAGGTCTTTTTCAAAGCTTCAGTCAATACAGAATCGTGCGGCCAAGCTAGTTTTGGGTGGTTCGTGGTTCGATCATGTTACGCCTATTTTGAACAGGTTGCACTGGTTGAGGGTTGAAAAACGTGTTTCCTTCAAGTTGGCAGTTTTGATGTTTAAATGTGTCAATAATACAGCACCTCCCTACCTCATCGATAGATTAGAATCATACAAATCTCATTTATCAAAATATTCCTTCCGATCAACCGAGCGCAATTTATTTTTTATCCCGACCACAAAGTTGGTGACGGGTTCCCGCAACTTTGCGGTTCTTGGCCCGATTGTTTGGAATGGTTTACCTCCATACTTACGTGACCCTAACCTATCATATTTACAATTTCGAAGTCAACTTAAAACTTATTTATTTGCACAATGAATGTCCGTCTTATTTGTCTATGATTTAGTAGCGCTTTTGAGATTCAACAATAAAAAAGCGCTGTATATAAATTTCCGTAATAATAATAATAATAATAATACATACATACATACATACATACATACATACATACATACATACATATATACATACATACATACATACATACATACATACATACATACATACATACATACATACATACATACATACATACATACATACATACATACATACATACATACATACCTGTCTGTGCGAAGCGTTTAACATAAATTAAAGCTGAACCCGGATATGATTATTACTTCCCTATAATTCTAATCAATTATGGGTTCATACATACATACATACATACATACATACATACATACATACATACATACATACATACATACATACATACATACATACATACATACATACATACATATATACATACATACAAATGATGGTAATCTTTCTATCAAGAAAAATCATGTTGTGTTGCCCCAAAATGCGACATGGCGGATGAATTTTTTTCTAGATCTGCCAATTTTTGTTTGCATGATCATCTTCCCAAGCAGTGCAGACCCAAATTTAGTCAGGTGTTGACCAAGGTTTTGAAAGAAATTATCGAAAAACATCTTTCGCCTCCAAGTTTGTATAAGCTGTTTTTTCTGCCCTCAATGGTTCTAAGGAGGAGTCCTCGAGGGGGTAAACGTCACAACCCAACAGGTGTTATTAACCCAGAGATTGGATGCATTCGGCGGTTGTTCGGTGGAGAGGATGGTGGAATCCTTGGAGCCTGTTGTTAAGTATAGCAAACAAGTTTCAGACGAAGCTAAAATGATTTCATCCGTTAGATCCAAGATTGAAAA